ATATTAAGTAAATCAGCTAACCATCATGAATTTAGATTAATTTAGTCTGTGCACCATGTCAAAACAAAATTATTCAAACAAAAAGTCACAATCCTTTGTAGTCACAGAGAAGATAGCTGAACAAATTAAAATGTTTATAAATTCAGATTTTAATATAGTAAACAGCAAATATCCTCTCAGTATATGTGGTACTTGCAAAACAACACTAAATGAGCAAGACAAAGATATTAAAAATAGAAAATTGCTAAGATACAAAATTATAAATGCATATTATTGATAAAAGAAACTAGAGCTAGAGGAGATAGGTAATGCAATTACTATATATGCATCGCAGCAAAATATATTAGTCGTCAACCCGTTATTAAAGGAAGGGGTTATAAAAAAGGTTGACATCTAATATTACTGAAAACAATGGTTTACAAACGGCTTACATATTCAATAATAATTTGTTTGTATTACAAATCAGAAATTGGAAAGTTCCATTATTGCAAAATTAGCAGAAAATATAAGATCCTAAATAAAATTTTACCGGAAAAACAAAAAGACCAGTTAATAAAATTATTACTGAAAACTAAAGCAGAAAATCAAAAAGATTCAAGTAAAGAAAATATCTGCTTGGAACTTTAATTAAAAACCACATACATATTCCAAATTGTTTTAAAACCTGATTTTTTGAAAAAATTTAAGTATAAAAGCAAAGACTTAAATAACTTTTAAGTAAAGACAACTTTTAAGTATCTTCAAATGTCATTGAGTAATTTGCTATTTTTATTAGATCCAATATAGGTAAAAAGACTGTTCCTGCCTATGACAGAAACCCGGAATCAGAAAAATCTGTATCTTAAAAATAGTTTATACAAGATTACATAAAAAATGTTTGATGTTAAGGGGAATCTAAAGAGAAAGAAAAAAGAATTATTTGTTGGGCATATTCACAAGATATTGTTAATTCTGTAATTAGAGTTAGAGAGATTAATAAAAAAGGATACATTTATGTATCATTGTGTTTCATATTCATATTATAATTTAATTTGTAATGTATTTTTAAGAAGTAAATTTGTTTAAGTTTGTAACGGCTGAGAGAGGCCAGGTCTTTCTAAAAATTTGTGCAACAATTTTGCCAGAGTTTTTACTTAGAGATAAGTCGTGAATTAAATGAAAAGGAGACTGAGGAGCTCAAAAGGTTGAAAGAACTAAGCCTTCCCAGCATATAAAGATCCTTGCATTCTGAAGGGGATACTGCTAGCAAAAAAAAGAAAGTTAATAGGTCGTCACAGTTAATAATGTTTTGTATAGTACCTCAAGTTAAATGTTGCTATGTTAAATTAGAATCACTCCAAGGATTGATTAAACAGGAGGATATATGTGATGAAAACTGCAATTTAAATGTTTTTTTCTTTAAACAATAGATGAGCAGGTTTGCGAACATATGGTGATCTAAGAAAATGGTGCGACAGGAAAAACTAGAAAATATCATATTTTAAATTATTTTCTCTTCTCAATATATTATCACCCGTTTAATATTAATCATTAAATATAAGCTTAGTATATATTTTATTAGGTTCAAGCAATTAGGAGGAATTAAAAAAAAAGATGCCACAAATACAATGAGAATTGTGAATTTTTCACTCTTATACGATCCACATTGTACTTTAATTATAGCTAAATGTTCTTTTGCAGAATTTTATTTAATAAAGGAGTTGTCAATCATGATTACTGGAAAGTAAAATTGCAGACTTTGCAGTATGAAATCTTGAGGTTGATGTCCTTGATAAAGTTAGCACTTTATTGTTGTTGCCTTTAGTTTCATTCTTAAAAGCAATAAATAGTGTTGTTAATAGTTGTTTTCAAACAGGCAAGGTTTTTCAAAATTTATATTATTATCTGCAAGTTTTGAAGACAATGTTTCAGGGAACAGATCTATCTAAAACTCTCAAAATGCACATAATTCTTGAACACATTTAACAATATCTTTGTGAATTAAAATCAGATTATGGAGCAGGACTTGTATCTCAACAAGCTAGAGAGTCAATCCATATAAAATAATTAAAGTATTGGTGGGGAGAATCTAATGAAAGCTGTTTAGTTTATTTAGTTCTAAACATTTACAACACTTTTTGTTCAACTTATTTTAATTCTATTTGTTAATTTTTTTAACATATTTGAATATTGATCAATATAATGTTTTATTTCTTTTAAAACTAATTCACTAAGTTTAAATTAGATTTGAAATATGTAAAAAATATTGTTTAATTTATGCATTTAAAATATGCAAATTGTTTAAATTAGAATTAAAATATGAAAAAGTGTGATTCCATTGCTTATTGTAGGTCTGTAATAACTTTAAAAAGTACTGCAGACAGCTGAAGTATCTTATAACTGAAAACAACTTTATAACTTTTGCATAACTGTAGAGTTTTGTTCTTAACCATAAGCCAGATGAAAGTATTTTAAATTAATGGTTGAAATTAAAAGTTAGTTAAAAATTATACCCCAATTTTAGTTTCAACAAGTTTTCAATCTACAAACAAAGTTGTAAAAGAATCTACAAACAGTCAGACATTTTTATCGATTTTGAATTTGTTGAGAGCAAATGTAATATAAGTACAATTGTTTCGTGGGAAAATGAGTTTCCTTTTTTTAATAATAGTTTATACAAAATTCCATTTTTTTTTAGCTTTTCTAGTCTCTCATATAAAGTATATAAATAATTTTAAAAAAGTTGCAAATTTGAGAGTAATCATGATTCTGGATTTGGTGTAAAGTATTTTTGTGATCTGTATTTTTGCAAAGTACGATGTCATACTTTTTATTTTTTATCTTTTAATTAAATCAAAGTTAAAATAAAATTTAGGTTTAATTTTTTAAATTTGTTAATTTTTTTTTTAATTTGCTTATTTTTGTAAATTTTTGTTCATTTTGTTTAAAAGGGGCTAGTATACAAAACAGTTTTAATGTAGTCAAAAGATATCAAAGGCTTTAAGTTATTTTGTTTTATGCTGCTTGAGTAGTTTGTTCAAAATTTCCTTTTGGCAACTGATAACTGCCGTGTATTGGTGTAAGCTTATTAGGCAACACATATAAGTTATTCATTCAGTACTTTGCTCTTGATATCATTATTCTTGATTCAATCTTACAAGCTCTAATTCTACTTTAATATTTATACCAAGTTTTTCTGTAAAAATATTTATACCAAGTTTTTCTGTAAAAAATGTTTATTACTTCCTTTTAGATACAACAATATTTTTAGAATTTTCAAGGCAAAGGTACTTTAGAAATGTCTTCGCCTTGAAAAATGGGAAAATATCATTTCCAAATAATATTATCATGTCAGTATTGTTGTAAAGAACATAAGAAGAGTAACTATTTAAAAATATTTTTGAAGTAAATACTTCTCCAAAAAAGTTATAAAAAGACTTGTATAAAAAAAATAATTGTTACTTTCATTTAAAGACAAATAATGACAATATAAAATGAAACGATGCAATAATTAAATGATTTAAATTTAAAAAAATTTGAGCATTGTTATTCAATAAATATATATTTATTAGTTTTATATTGAAAAATATTTGTTTATTTATTTCGCCGTTTAAAAAAGATTTTACAATGTTCCATATATTACAAAATAAAATAAGTGGTTGGAGCAAAAAGAATGCATTAGCCTTTTCACCTAGCTCCATTAAAAACGCTTAAAAAAATCCGAAACATCATAAAAAATCAACAACAATTGAAAGCACGTTATGTAATTTTAAATTGTTTAGATTTGCATAAAAGTTCAATTTAAAAGCCTGTTGTACGCAAAATATATTTAAAGTTAGGTTTTATTTCACTATGATCGTGAAAAATTGATGAACATTATTAGAATTTACTTTTGTACATATGTCACAAAATCAAAATTTTTTCTTTAAAAATTTATGAAAAATAAATTTGTTTGTCCTAATATTTCTTAAAACTCATTTTTTCGCAGCATTTAAAAATCCTTAAAAACTTTTAAGTTGAATCTTATAAAATTTGTTAATCGTTAACGTAGCACAGATATGAAAAATGCAATGGATAAATGCAAAGAGGTAAAAAATAATGAACCAAGTTACAAAAAGTACTTAATAATCAGGGTTCTTCATTATGTTTCTTGTTTAGAAAATGTTTCCTTATTAGCTAAACACTTTTTTCAGTTCTAATCCCTATTTAGACAAAAATATATGTTAGCATAACTATATTGTATAACAAGTAAAAACGTATTAGTGAAAACCGTAATTATATCTCAGCTATTCATAAATGTCTTTTTATTTTTCAAAAATGTATAAACTTCTATTAGCATTTTGTTATTATAATAATTATAACTTATGTTATAAATTATAATATTATTACATTACATAACAATTGTTAGTTAAAAAGTGTAATAAAATTGAATTTAAAAGGGACTTTTAATAGCTAAAATGTTTTTCAATTTTGAATTTGAAAATTGTCTTTCCGAACCAAAATCATAAATCAATATACGAACTCTGCAATGTGCCAGTCTCTACTTAAGTCAGTCGATATATGTCATTTTAAATGTTCTTTGAGTAGCACGATTTTTAAAATAAAATTACTAATAAAGTCTTTACTTAAATTATCGATCAAAAGTTAATTTATTGCAATATTGTAATAGCAATATAAAAACTTGGTTGTGTAACCAGGATATGTAACCTGATTTGAAATATTTAAACATCACTTTTATTTAATCTTAGATTTTTTGATTTTTCTGCAAATATGATGCGTAACACTCAAACCAATACTCAATCCTTTGACTGCAAAAATAAACTTAAAAATTTAAGGCTGCTGTTCAGAAAACAAACAAGTTGAGTACCTCTATCAATAACATAAAGAGGATTGAACTTGTAACTTCAAGTTTACAAAGCAATAAAGTCTAACACTATAACACTACAACTTTGACATTATAATTCAAAAGTCCTTATAAATATAAAAAATCTTAATATTATAATTTAACAATAAAATCTCACCCTGGTTTTTAAATTCTTTTCTTGCTTCATTAGATAAATCTAATGCCATAGCTTCGTAACTAAAAACATTTTTTAAAAAATTACAAATGATTATCGAAGGTTAGGTTATAACAAACTGCCTTTTTATTTTTGTTTTAAGTTGTTTTAAAATTTAAAAAAATATAAAATACTCAAATAAATTTTCTTTTTCTTGCAGTAAAATTGTTGAAATATAGCTCACAACTTTTCACAGAAGGAATTTGGAAATATTGAGGTGTGCAAAGACTTCCATTCGGAAATGGCCAGATGTTTTAATGGTTTACTTATTTACCCAGTAATAAAAGTTTATAAACAAACTGGAATTTCTTTTTTCTAAATAACAATATTAGGGAGGGTGATGAGCTAATGCCAATGAATGACTGTGATAAGCTAATACAGTTTGCACACTACTTTAAATGTGTCATTGCAATATCAACAAGCATAGGGATTTCCTGGCTGGTATCTAAGCTAGCAACTTGTAACATTTTCGTTTTAATATGTATATTTAAACAAGTAACTTTTAGCATTTTTAGGTTTTGTGTTAGGAATGATGTTTTGTTAATTTTTTTATTTAAGATACATAGCAACTATATACAAAAGAGAAACTACAAGTAAAAATATTGTTAAAAAAGTAAATAATAAAAATAAAGAACGCAGAAAAATAAGATAGATAAGGTAATTAAAATAAGCGATAATCGCTGCCCTAGACAGATTGTCCTTTGAATATATATATATATATATATATATATATATATATATATATATATATATATATATATATATATATATATATATATATATATATATATATATATATATATATATATATATATATATATATATATATATATATATATATATATAGTATATATATATATATATATATATATATATATATATATATATGTATATATATATATATATATATATATATATATATATATATATATATATATATATATATATATATATATATATATATATATATATATATATATATATATATATATATATATATATATATATAATATATATTTAAATTATTTGGTGGAATTTTTTACTAACTTTAAAGTTTAAACTACTTTATTAATAAATACATATCTTTTAGTTATTTTTTATTCTTTTTACCATTTGAGGGTTTTATTTTGCATAAATACAAACAACATAATTACTTTTTAATAGCAATTATTTTTTTTATTTTAATGTTTGAAAATTACAAATAAAGTAATAATTTTAATATTTTGTAATGCCATTCTTGCTACAATAATGGCTTTCTTTTTATGCAAACTTTTACGTTGTGCTGAAAACTAGGGTTTTTGTTCCACTCTCTAATAAGGGTTTGTATCTATTGTTGCTTGGTCTCTTTGATAACTTTCTGTATTGCAAACTTTAATAGATTTTCTATAGGAAGTGAGGTAAATACCTCGACCAAGGCAAAATTGCACTTTTCGTTCAGCTAGGAATGTTGTAACACTCCTAGCTTTATAGTACGGTGCAGGGTCATGCATGAATATATACTCTTTAATACTAGGAAACTAATCTTGGACCTGCACTTGCTTGTACTTACAGTACTGGCTTGTACTGTAAGTTCAAGCGATTACTGGCCTACCTCATGGTACCTTCAACAATATAGAGAAAACCCCTACCGATTGCTGAGATCATAAACCACACTGTTACACTCACGTAATATTCAACCTTTTTCTGGTTGTTGTCGGGCAAATTACCTTTTCTCCACTAAAATTTGCAATTTTTAATTTTCCAAGAAGCAATCTGTAAAATATTACAAAGAAATTTAAATTATAAAGCTATAATTTTCAGGGTTCTTACAATATAACAAGTCATATATACTCTACTTCAGTCGTTTACAGTCAAATTCTGGTCTTTTTAAGCCCATTATAGTCGCTTTTTTTATGGTTTCAGTTAAACGTTGTCTTTTAGTTGAACAACAAACCATTAAATTCTCTTCATCTAAACGTTATCAAACCTTTCATCATCCTAACGTCATTAAACGTCATCAAATGAATCAAAAGTCCTTTGGAGACGTTGATTCCTTCATTGTTTATCGTTGCATCATTGTAAAAACCTCTAATATATTGTTTATCATACTTCTAATATATATTTTATATTGTTTATCATTGTTTATCGTTGTATCAGCTAAAACCTCTATATGTTATATATGGAGTATCTATAAATGCATAACATTTGCTGATTTAATTACTTCTGGTTATAAATCTAAAATTTCAAAAGTAATCTGATCTAAGTTATCACTTGTAATAGATTCAAAGTTGCTACTTGTTTTTATGTGATAAAGATGCTGCTGCATTTCTTTATCACATGCTTCATAGGACGATTTGAGACTCTTTGATCTAGGACAGCGATTATCGCTTTTTTTAATTACCTTATTTATCTTAATTATCTGCGTTCTTTATTTTTATTATTTATTTCTTTAACGATGTTTTTACTTGTAGTTTTTCTTTTGTATATGTTTGCTATGTATCTTAAAAATAAAAAAATAAAGAATAAAAAAATGTCATTCCTAACATCAAATCTAAAAAACGATCAAAGGTATTTACTTAGACATCATAAAACATATTAAGAACAAATATATATATATATATATATATATATATATATATATATATATATATATATATATATATATATATATATATATATATATATATTGTAGGAATTATGTTAATATTTTTAGTAAGAGTGCTCAATACAACGTGTTATATACTTAGTAAAGCAATTACATAACTAAAAGTTTTACGCAATAGGAATCATCAGAAGTATCAACAACAAAAAAGTAACAACAAAAAGTATATACAAAAAATGCTATGGAGTGTCCACTTTGATGAAATTAAATTTCTTTATTAGAAACTTTATGGCGGTATTTTGACGGTAAGCAAATTTAATGGTGATTTAATAATGTGGTATTTTTCCCTAAGCATAAATTGAAAATTTTACCACCAGGTTTCAATGGTTCTGCTTGATCAAGCGGAGCAATTCAAATCTGGTGATAAAATTTTGGTGGAGCTTGTGTCAATATGCCGCTATGAGAATAAATTTCTAATAAAAAAATTTAATGTCAACGAAGCAGACACTGCATAGCATTTTTTGCATATAATTTTTGTCGTCACATTTTTTGTTGTTGTTACATCTGAGGATCGCTATTGCATGAAACTTTTAGTTATGTACTTGAAATATATCTTCTATCATAACTCTTCCATCATAAACAAAAAGGCCTACCCAATACATTTACAAACTTTTTTACTGTTAGAGAACGCTGTTGCTATCATCTACGAACTGCTAATAGCTATCATGTACCAAATCATTCTTCTATAAAATATGGTCTAAAATCTATAAAATACTAAAATGTAAAATCATGGAACAGTCTACCTTTACCATTAAAATCAATTGACTCAATTACTAATATCAAAAACTGTCTTTTTAACTATTTTTTAGCAAAATATTATACCTGAAGCCTCTTAAATATGTTGTTATGCTTTTATTATTACTACTCTCTTGATACCTACTAATTTTAATATTAACTTTTTGTTCTTATACTTTTATTGTTACTGTTAGTATTGATATTATAATATTTTTCTATCTTTATTAGTAAATTATTATTTTTATTTATAACTTAACAAGTACTATTATTGCTTTTTTAATTTTTTTCTTAAGTTTATTTACTTTTTATACTATATAGTTGTTATTATCACTACTATTGCTAATATCTAATATTGATTGTCTAATATTTTTGTTGTTATTGTTAGTATTGTTGCTAATAATATTCTTCTTTATCATCATCTTATTATTGTTGTTAATATTATTATTATAATTATTATCGTTACTATTATTATTGTTATAATTGTTATTGTTATTTTGATCACTTTTATTGTAATGTTGCAGGTTTTTACTTTAGATTAGTACTTGTACTATTTGTAAAAGTCCTGGAAATTTTACAGCTTATTTCAGAATATATTGAATTGAATTAAATTGTGTTAATAATTATTTAGTTAATTTTTAACAAAGTATTTATATACAACCTAGATGCTTTTAAGGTACTCAAATATTATGTATTTGCGGTTTGCCTGCATTATTTGAAAGCGTTTTGTTAGGATGGCGAAAAGTGATATCATGCTCACTCATCCAGTTATTTATGTTAGGATGGCGAAAAGTGATACCATTCTCACTCATCCAGTTATTTATCCAATGGTAAGAGGAAATAGTTTTTTTATCCTCTTTCACCTCTTCTGATTATTGGGAAAGCCGCTTGTTGGGCAAGTTTGCATAGTGCTGCAACTATATTGGGTAAACATGTTTTTAGGATTCCACGGAGAGAAAGTAAAAAGGGTAAGAGGAACGGAGGTGTATGTTGACAAGCTGGGTGGGTGACGTGGGTGACGTGGGTGAGAATATTATCCATAAAAATTAAAAAACATTTCTAACTTTTTTTTTAATACTACTTTTTGCTGTTTTTTATATATTTTTAAAAGTAACATTTATTGCTAGTTTACTCTTTAATTCTTAAGTCTTAAAAAATTGAAAATATTAAAATATAAGTATATACTAGATATTTAAATATTTAAGTTTACAACTTTTTATATATTATAAATATTTATATAAAGACTATATATTTTAAGAACGAGAGAGGAGCATAGTTTTAAATAAACTAAACTTAGTTATTTATTAAGTTTAGCCAACTAAAGTTAGTCAACTAACTTTTTAGTTTAACTAAAAAAAGTCGACTAAAACTGCATAAAAGTTATTGAACTATGTTTAGTATAACTAAAAATTTAGTTGACTAAGTTTAGTCAACAAAATAGTTAGTCAACAAATATTTGTTAAACTAAAAAGTTATTTTACTAGTTTTAGTCGAACTAAAACGTTAGTCGACTAATTTTAGTTTAACTAAAAAAACAGTTGACTAACATAGTTGATTTAAAAAATTCTAAAATTTACAAACCTTTGTTATGGATATTTTAGTAAACTCTATTTGAATTAAAAAAGTATTTAATACTAGTTAAGTATATAA